CGATCTTCGAGATTGTTCTAAAGGGGCCCCCGATGGTTGTAACCAACTTCAATCGATGTATTTTCGGACGCTAATTCCGAATCAACCCCCATGGGCCCATGACATATGGTTAAAATGCTCTCCTGACGAGATATTGGCGAAAAACTGTACATGTATCGATCACGTGATATGACCGTATAAGGAAGTTAGTCTAATTTCTCGTTATTATTAGGGTTTCAGCATATGTTTTTGTTAAGGATTGGGTTAGGGTTAGGGTTGGGATCAGATTAGAGGGTTAAGGTTTCGAAAAGTCGTTCAGAACCAGCTAGAGTCAGAGAATGGGTTAAAAAAGTCACGTGACAGTCGAGTGTAAAGTGATTACCTTACAAGACATATCTATGGCGGCCTAATTTGCGACGACCGAAATTTTGGCGGTCCGAAAATATGGCGAAATTGAACAAAAACCGTCAAATTTCGGACGTCACAGAAAATAAGGGTATTTTTCATCATTTTTTGTGACAGTAAGCAGTAAGGAAATTTCTGAAATTCGGTAAAATCATGTTCAAACTTAGTCTGTATTAAGACTGTAAGACTTTCATGTTAGCACATACATGTATTTTAATACAAATTTAAACTGTATTGCTTGACATTCAATTCGTCATTGGTGTGGTAATAATTTGTCCCAAGATGCCAGAATTTATTTATTTATTTTACTTGATATTACTTTTTAGAAACAAAATAAAGCAGTGAAGGCACAGTCATTGAAATAAGCTAAAAGATAATGCGACGGATTCTAGTACGACGACCGAAATTTTGGCGGTCCGAAAATATGGCGAAATTTTCGGAAAACCGCCACATTTCGTACGTTATAAATATGTCTTGTAAGGTAATCATCATCCGACTAATATCGCAAGTATACGATTTTGATACATTGCGCTGGCTAGCGCTGGCTAGCGCTGGTTAGCGCTGGCTAGCGCTGGTTAGCGCTGGTTAGCGCGGGCTAGCGCTGGTTAGCGACAACTAGCGCTGGCTAGCGATAGTTAGCGCTGGCCAGCGCTGGCCAGCGCTAGCTGACGAGTAATAGCGCAAAAATTTTGCGCTGGATATCGATGGCCAGCGCTGGCCAGCGCTAGTTGTCGCTATCCAGCGCTAGTTGTCGCTATCCAGCGCTAGTTATCGAACTGTTTTCTGCGATGGCCAGTTGCGCTGGCCATCGCAAACTATCGCGTGCGACAGTGTCGCATAGCCAGCGACAACTAGCGCTGGATAGCGACAACTAGCGCTGGATGGCGACAACTAGCGCTGGATGGCGACAACTAGCGCTGGATAGCGACAATTATCGAACATATATATTTTGCGCTGGCCAGCGTTATCCAGCGCTGGATAGCGACAACTAGCGCTGGATGGCGACAACTAGCGCTGGATAGCGCTAGTTGTCGCCATCCAGCGCTAGTTGTCGCGTTTTGACTATCGCAAAAGAACCCACATATCTTTTTTGCAACCGAGCCCTTATAATAAAGAAGAAAATATCGATTTTCTTTCGTTTTCCTGCGTGTTTCTTTATATTAGCCATGTCTCCACATGTCCGAGTAAACATTCACAACAATGTTCACAATTACATGTTTTGAGGTAAAACCTGTAAAAGCAAATTGGATTTCACGGAGCTTATTATCAACCCTCACTATGAAAGTATGAAGCGGATCTGCAGATTCTTCTTGACTAAAACAAGCTTAACTAATGTAAGTTGACGGTGAGATACAAAAGATATTGATCCCAAATATCTAATAGTAATATTTTATTGTGTGATTAATACTTTAATATTTGGTCAAGGAATGATTTTGCAGATTGCGGCAATGGCGATTAGCCTTTTGTCATTTCCGATTTAATGTTGGGTATATTTTCTTCTTTTTTTGAGTTCTCAAATTGAGTACTCAAATATACCCACCATAAGAATTTACATTTGATGCGGCACCAGCAGAGTTAGTGCATTAGCATAAAGTATCTTTATCTTAGCTAATCTGTGATTTTGAATTTTCAATTACATACGAGCTTTTCTGAGGGGAGAGACGAAGTTCTAATCTTAATATCTCTTAACAATACAGGCCCCAGGGTAGGGTTTAATGTTACTCTTAACATGGACATTTTCACTTTTTCACGTGTATTGTTATAGTCGGCTCTCCTACAGATTGAGATACCGCAAGAAAGAGCTGTTCCTTCGTCCACAGAGGGGAGGACAAAGTTACCAACGTTTATCAGGCCAGGTTATGACACCTTTAAATATGAATATTCAAATACTATCTGACGGGGGCTTTCCTCAAATGTAATGGCTCATGATCCAACATTATTTTGAAACCAGCTACTTCAAACATTTACAGCTTTACAGTTAATTTGGAAAAATCGTAGGGATATCAAAATAAAAATTGAGTTATTGAAACCTCGGAGCGATTCAACTGACTGAAGTATTTTTATCTGTTTGGATATTAAAATTATGTTCAATGTGTAAGAAAAATAGGTTTGTACTGCGATTTCACGATCTCGTCATTTATATTAATCCCCCATTCAGTGGAAGAAAATGTGAGCTAAGGAGAAGAAAAGGATTGTGACTATCAGAAACCTACGGACTACCGCAACTTCTTCGGAACTAGAAAACCAACAACATATCTGATATCATACATAGTGAGCGATCATAGTCATGTCAAATTAATCACATCTAAGTTCATTTGCATTTCAAATCTAAAACCACCATAATTTGCATTCAAAGTTTTAATGAAAGTTTTTATTGATAATAAATATATAGGTTTAGTTGAGAACATAATTCCTGTATACTCCCTGGTACTATCACTTTATTATAACGATACAAATTATCATGGTACAATCTATAAATCACTCCTAATTTCAGAGTCTTTTTCACTGATGGGAGACGAATGATAATATCACATCAGTCATATAACACGCTTATAAGGTACGTACTCTATTCATTAAACATTTGGCTTATTTAGATCAAAGAATTGTTATATTGGTTATATTTTCCAGTTCAAAAGGATTTCTAACAAGCTCAGCTGTTAGTATTTTACATACTCATGTTACCACCGTTAGAAATTTCAAACAAATATCATCACTCAGACATCCTAGGTAACAGCATCACCTATAACGATGAGAAGAAAGTTTGTAAGAGACCGAGACTAATCTGCCCTCCTCCGGGAATATTGAGCACAGAATAAGAGATTAAGGTAATATTCTAGATTTCATAGCCGTCTTTCTAGTGACTCCCTGTTCAATTGATTCTTATAAAAACCAGAAGTTTAATGACAGCTATTGACATCATAATAAAATAATATTGAGATGTGTTTTGTTTATTCCTTTCACACAAGCTACTATTTTTATAGTAATAGTATAACTGTTGCTGTATGATAAAATTTTATGTTAAGTTTATCCGGGTCGGCTGTAAGAAGTCTTGTGAGTGCAAGAGCTTCTAAGATTAGATATATTCAGTTATTCAGTATCTACCTACTTACCTATGGAAACTTTGTCTTGACTATGCTGTAGAGGGGAGGGACTAAATTCTGACCTTGTCTAAACTATCCTGGACAGTGACTATTAACGGTTAATTCGCTATCATATTAGAGTTCTGAGTGTACGTGAAAGATTCTGGGATTAGATATAATATCATTCAGTTATTCGGTTATTCAGTATCTACCTATTGAACCTTTATCTTGAATAAGCTGTAGAGGGGAGGGACTAAACTCTGACCATCTCTTAACTATCCTGGACAGGGAATATTAACGGTTAATTTACTATCATCTCAGTCTTCTAGAGCTACGTGAAAGAGTCTGGGATTATATATATTATTCAATTATTCAGTTATTCAGTATCTACCTATTGAACTTTTATCTTGACTAAGCTGTAGAGGGGAGGGTCTGAATTCTGACATTCTCGATACTATCCTAAACAGGGAATATTAACGGTTAATTTATTATCATAGTTCTGAGTGTACGTGAAAGAGCCTGGGATTAGATATATTCAGTTATTCAGTTATTCAGTATCTGCCTATTGAACCTCTATCTTGACTAAGCTGTAGAGGGGAGGGACTAAATTCTGACCATGTCTAAAAGTCTAAACTATCCAGGACAGGAATATTTACAGTTAATTTATTATCATATCAGAGTTCTGAGTGTACGTGAAAGAGTCTAGGTAAACCTTATAGGATAAACGTACCTAATTACAGGACGTTGTTTGAACGGACATTGTTTGACATGAGAGGCCATCATAGTGTTCAGATGTGATAATTATTAAATCAGATTTCTTAAGTTTCCTTACAATATACAAAGCTAAAAGGTGAAAAACTCTAAATTTATTATCAACGAAACGAGTGTTAGCATGTGGTTAAGCGCGACAAGATAAAATAGTTGAAGATCAGTGTTTTAACTGATCCGTTTTTCAGGAAGATTAATAGACGAAGACAAGAAGAATTAAGCCAGTAACTAATCAACTTAGAAACAAGAAGATCCCTGTAGAACGGGACCAACGTAACTTGATTGCACGAAGACACGGGACTATAATCTTGCAATTACCAGGATACATAAAGTAAGTTACTCTGTCCCCGTCAGACACATTTACTTTCTCATTTCTTGATGAGATGAAATCTTGTAGAGATCTTATCGCAATAATTTATCTTTATACTTAAATCGATTTTTAATATTCACAGAGATTTATAAGTTTAACAACGTAACAATGTCTAATTATCTCCAAGACGCAGTTTATCGAGTAAAGTGAAAGCTTGCGACCCTGGATAATAACAAAGTTGTGAACATGAAAATGTAAGTCAACAGAATATTGAACAATACAAGGGAAAATGAATAAACGAATTTATTTTGGCGTAGTATCACGTATCCTTTTTTTGCAGCCGAGCCCATATAATAAAGTAGAAAGTATCGATTTTCTTTCGTTTTCCTGCGTTTTTTTATATCAGCCATTTGTCCACATATCCGAGTAAACATTCACAACAATGTTCACAATTACAGGTTTTGAGGTGAAAACCTGTAAAAGCAAATTGGATTTCACGGAGCTTATTATCAACCCTCACTATGAAGCGGATCTGCAGATTCTTCTTGACGACAACAAGATTAACTAATGTAAGTTGACGGTGAGATACAAAAGATATTGATCCCAAATATCTAATAGTAATATTTTATTGTGTGATTAATATTTGGTCAAGGAATGAATTTGCAGATTGTGGCAATACAATGGCGATTAGCCTTGTTTCATTAACGATTTAATGTTGGGGATATTTTCTTCTTTTTTTGAGTTCTCAAATACAAAGTTCTCAAATTGAGTACTCGAATACTCAGCATAAGAATTTACATTTGATACGGCACCAGCAGAGCTAGTGCATTAGCATAAAGTATCTTTATCTTAGGTAATCTGTGATTTTGAATTTACAATTACATACGAGCTTTGCTGAGGGGAGAGACGAAGTTCTAATCTTAATATTTCTTAACAATACAGGCCCCAGGGTAGAGTTTAATGTTACTCTTAACATGGAAATTTTCAGATGTATTGTTATAGTTGGCCCTCACACAGACACCGCAAGAAAAAGCTGTTCCTTCGTCCCAGAAGGTAAGACAAAGTTACCAACGTTTATTAGGCCAGGTTATGACACCTTTAAATATGAATATTCAATTACTATCCGACGGGGGCACTTCTCAAATTTAACGGCTCATGATCCAACATTATTTTGAAACCAACTATTTCAAACCCTTACAGCTTTACAGTTGATTTGGAAAAATCATAGTGATACCAAAATAAAAATCGAGTTACTTAAAAACAGGGTTGAAATCAGCAGTAATAATCTTTAAGTTATTATATAAACAATCAACTTGATGATAAGATAAGTGTTTGTTTTTACATTGATAATTTCAGGGCACTCATAATCGAGTTTCTGACTTACAAACAACAACTGTGAAAAGACTGCATTCCCGAAGTAATGAATACCACCATGATGAAACTTTAAAGGGAAACTAATATGTTTGAGCAGCGATGGACAATTTTTACTAACTTTGAGGCTTTCAATTAAAGAACGATTTTTTAGATTGAAAACTTAATTATGAAATATAAAATAATGAAATTGGGATAATATTATATTAGTGTTTTAAATAAAGACAATTTTTAAACTTTTAACCTAAATGAATTTTATATTCCTAGGTTTGCGATTTCTTTTATGCGTCGCGTAGGTACTTACTTTATTTTAATTTTGGATTGCATATTTTATTAACATACAATGCTTTCGAATTTTTATAGTTTACTTTGATCAAAATCCCAATCCCGGGTCTAATCACTTAATGGACCGAATTCAATAAATAGAACGAAATGAAAATAATGTGGTACCTGAGCCGGCCCTCAGATTGACGTTGAATCGTTGTTAGTTATAAAATTATAAGCTAAGGGGTGGCTGTCAAAACCTGATGTCACCACCTGATCGTTTAATTTTGGAGCATGGCAATATCCAGTTAGGTTCGATCGGTTAATACTAGTTGATACTAGTTGCATGTATCAGTGAAGTGCACTTGCGTACCAAGCTTTTACTTTGAAAAAGCATAAGTCCTTATTCTTGATAAACGACTTTAAAATATTATGTATTCATCGAAATGACCCTACTCCTCAATATCTCAATATGATCTCCACTCTCCACTTTTGCTCCTAGAAGCTCTGGTTAGAGCAAATGCAAATTGCAATCTTACCGATTATTCCTAATATGGACTAAAAATTCGATTGTTAATTGTTTCAGTTAACAATGTTCTTTTACTTTAACGTTATACATCAACGGCATACATAATTGTCATAACTACTTCTACTAAGTCCGATCTACGCCAGATAACCCTGTCCCGCATCAGGGTTCGCAGTTCCTCTTTAGAGTTTGTCCCAACTTCCTTCAGTAACATAGACAAGTAGCTTTGTCTAGGTCGGCCTTGCTGTGATCTACCGTGCGTAGGTTCCCATAAGACTAAATCACTGGAAAGTAGATCAGGATGTCGGATGCAGTGTCCCGCCATTTTTAATCCCCTGCTTCGTAATTTGTTTGACAGCCTTGGTAGGCTACCATACAAAGTTATATTGCTGACCTTGTCCTTCCATGAGATACCCAGCACCATACGCAACATTTTTTTGTATGTCCAGTCCAACCTTTTCTCTGATCCGTAAAGCAGTACTGATTCACAAGCTGCTTTGAACAATCTAATCTTAAGGCTCTTTGAGTGTTTAGATTTCCAGATATCCTTCAGTCTATGTAGGGCACCCCACGCATTTCCCTTTCTAACCCTTATCTCCCTATCTGTGCTCTCAATCCAGGAGCCTAAGTAGATGAAATCATCCACATTTTCTACGGCTTCCCCGGATCGACTTTGAAGGTCGCTAGATCGATCCTCCATATTCAGTGTCATGACCTTGGTCTTGCCTTCGTTTATCTGTAGTCCCACGCTTGCTGCCGATGATTCTAATCTGAGCAGGAACTCGTCAGCCTTGTCCATGTCCTCAGATAAAAGTGCTATATCATCTGCAAAGTCCACATCGGTCATGATCTTGGGCCCCACTCTTCTGCTTTTTCTACATTCGAGAGTGAGTCCAAGTCGCTCCGTATCATCGCCTATGGCTTGCCTCATGCAGTAGTCAATAACTATTGCAAAGAGGTAAGGTGCTAAGGTATCACCCTGTAACACACCTGCAAGTATTTCGAACAATTCCGTTTCTCCGTCTGGAGTTAGGACTTTGGCCATTGTCTTCTCGTACATGAGCCGTATAAGCTGTACGATTTTGATTGGAATACCGTAACTGTAAGCTTCTAGAATCTTGAGCATTTTCCCACGATGTACACTGTCGAAAGCCTTCTTAAAGTCTATAAATGTCAGAACAGCTGGCAGTTTCCGACTCTTGACACCCTCTATAAGACGCCTCAGTATCTGCTGAGTTGTTAAATTGTCATAAACATTACAGATATAAACGTTTATAATATAGAAACGTTATACATCACGATTTAGTGGTACCGGTTTTTTCCTTTTTACCTTTGAGCCATAAACAGCTTTAAACAGTCTTAGAGAGTTTTAGAGAGTTTATAGTAAAAGCGATCAACCTAGTGGGGTCCTCGTGTTAAATGTAGGGTAACCCTAGTTAAACCTAAGTTAAACCTAAGTTTTAGAGAGTTTTAGAGAGTTTATAGTAAAAGCGATCAACCTAGTGGGGTCCTCATGTTAAATGTAGGGTAACCCTAGTTAAACCTAAGTTAAACCTAAGTTTTAGAGAGTTTTAGAGAGTTTATAGTAAAAGCGATCAACCTAGTGGGGTCCTCGTGTTAAATGTAGGGTAACCCTAGTTAAACCTAAGTTAAACCTAAGTTTTAGGGAGTTTTAGAGAGTTTATAGTGAAAGCGATCAACCTAGTGGGGTCCTCGTGTTAAATGTAGGGTAACCCTAGTTAAACCTAAGTTAAACCTAAGTTTTAGAGAGTTTTAGAGAGTTTATAGTAAAAGCGATCAACCTAGTGGGGTCCTCGTGTTAAACGTAGGGTAACCCTAGTTAAACGTAAGTTAAACCTAAGTTTTAGAGAGTTTTAGAGAGTTTATAGTAAAAGCGATCAACCTAGTGGGGTCCTCGTGTTAAATGTAGGGTAACCCTAGTTAAACCTAAGTTAAACCTAAGTTTTAGGGAGTTTTAGAGAGTTTATAGTAAAAGCGATCAACCTAGTGGGGTCCTCGTGTTAAATGTAGGGTAACCCTAGTTAAACCTAAGTTAAACCTAAGTTTTAGAGAGTTTTAGAGAGTTTATAGTAAAAGCGATCAACCTAGTGGGGTCCTCGTGTTAAATGTAGGGTAACCCTAGTTAAACCTAAGTTAAACCTAAGTTTTAGGGAGTTTTAGAGAGTTTATAGTGAAAGCGATCAACCTAGTGGGGTCCTCGTGTTAAATGTAGGGTAACCCTAGTTAAACCTAAGTTAAACCTAAGTTTTAGAGAGTTTTAGAGAGTTTATAGTAAAAGCGATCAACCTAGTGGGGTCCTCGTGTTAAATGTAGGGTAACCCTAGTTAAACCTAAGTTAAACCTAAGTTTTAGAGAGTTTTAGAGAGTTTATAGTAAAAGCGATCAACCTAGTGGGGTCCTCGTGTTAAATGTAGGGTAACCCTAGTTAAACCTAAGTTAAACCTAAGTTTTAGAGAGTTTTAGAGAGTTTATAGTAAAAGCGATCAACCTAGTGGGGTCCTCGTGTTAAATGTAGGGTAACCCTAGTTAAACCTAAGTTAAACCTAAGTTTTAGAGAGTTTTAGAGAGTTTATAGTGAAAGCGATCAACCTAGTGGGGTCCTCGTGTTAAATGTAGGGTAACCCTAGTTAAACCTAAGTTAAACCTAAGTTTTAGAGAGTTTTAGAGAGTTTATAGTGAAAGCGATCAACCTAGTGGGGTCCTCGTGTTAAATGTAGGGTAACCCTAGTTAAACCTAAGTTAAACCTAAGTTTTAGAGAGTTTTAGAAAGTTTATAGTAAAAGCGATCAACCTAGTGGGGTCCTCATGTTAAATGTAGGGTAACCCTAGTTAAACCTAAGTTAAACCTAAGTTTTAGAGAGTTTTAGAGAGTTTATAGTAAAAGCGATCAACCTAGTGGGGTCCTCATGTTAAACGTAGGGTAACCCTAGTTAAACCTAAGTTAAACCTAAGTTTTAGAGAGTTTTAGAGAGTTTATAGTAAAAGCGATCAACCTAGTGGGGTCCTCGTGTTAAATGTAGGGTAACCCTAGTTAAACCTAAGTTAAACCTAAGTTTTAGAGAGTTTTAGAGAGTTTATAGTAAAAGCGATCAACCTAGTGGGGTCCTCATGTTAAATGTAGGGTAACCCTAGTTAAACCTAAGTTAAACCTAAGTTTTAGAGAGTTTTAGAGAGTTTATAGTAAAAGCGATCAACCTAGTGGGGTCCTCATGTTAAATGTAGGGTAACCCTAGTTAAACCTAAGTTAAACCTAAGTTTTAGGGAGTTTTAGAGAGTTTATAGTGAAAGCGATCAACCTAGTGGGGTCCTCGTGTTAAATGTAGGGTAACCCTAGTTAAACCTAAGTTAAACCTAAGTTTTAGGGAGTTTTAGAGAGTTTATAGTAA